TGCGCTCACCGTCGCACAGTAGGCCAACAAACTCCAACTCAGCGATCCCCGACGCGGCAAACTCGAAGGAGGTGAAGTCGAATGCCAACTCCAACCAGCGAACGTGACGAGACTGACTGCTGCACCATTTTTCATGGCGGAGCGTCAAAAACCGACCACTTCAAATTCGAATTCCTGCTGCCACTGCGGCAAGGGCGTCACGGAAAGATGCATGCCCCTCGTGAGGGCATTTCGAGGATGGACCGACGAAACGCCAGCAGCGGTCCAGTAAGGGCATCGTGGAAAGTTATGCCCCATGCTGACAGGGGCCTGCGGAAAACTTCAGAGGCCCCAGGGGCACGACAGAGTAAGTCGGCCGTCAGAGGGGCATACCGCAAACTAATCGAAACTTCAGGGGCATTTTGAAATTTTCCCCGAAATGTAACATCGAGACCGGGGACCTCACAATTCAACCCGGAAGATACTGACAGCATCAGCCAGCTTAGCTTACAGGCTCACGCCTACCGACTTCCCATTCCTACAACATTCGAACCATTGAACCAGTCTGAATATCCATGTGAGCGAAACCCTCATTTGTTCCCCATAACAATACTTCACGTATCCGGATTACACATTTATTATCTTACTACCTTAATACTGTACGTAGAGAGAGCAATCTAGCTAACAGCCTATTCTAACCTAACCTACTACGAACAGGCCTAACACGGCCCGACGTCAGTCTACTATGACCGAATGGAACCAAGTTTCGTATGGCCCTGGCCCTCTTCTTCCTAATGACCTCCTGCGGCCCTTGCCCCGAACCGAGTGCCCTGGTTCGTAAAAAAAAAAAAAAAACACAAGGCCTCAAACCACACAATCCATCAAACTAGCATACCCCCTCTAATTATGCTTACCTTACCTCCTCTACTATCCTTAAACCACCAGTACCTCGCTCAGCTATTGAATCCGAGCCTCCCAGCACGCTGCGCGCCAAGTCCTGCCGAACCGCCGTCGCAATTTTCTTTTTCGTTTTGCCTGCGGCCTCCAGCCAATGCGGTCCGGCAGGCCGAAGCCCAAATGGCGCCGCGCGTATACGGGAAGCGCCGCGGCCGATAGCTGGGCCAGGTACTGGTGGTTTAACTACAGCCCATTGCGGCCACAGCCTGCCTTTCTTCGCCAGTCTGCTCGCACCTCGGTCCTCAGCAGTGATTTGAATAATCTTTCTGCCTAGATGTCAGACATACTCTTACCTCGGAACCGCTGGTCGATCCGATCAACCCAGATTACCCACATCAGTACAACCCTCCCCACCTGTGCAATATAACCCCAACCCTTGTCTGTGATACGCAACCTCACGCCCCCTCGCGGCTTCCCGTACTGGGCCGCCGATCAGAGTTCTAGGAGGGGCGTGGCCGAGGATTTTTGGTCGTAGGGGTGGAGTCTCCCGGACAGAACGGGAGGCTCTCGTTTTGTGCCAGAGGTTACCCCGAAGTCGAACTGTCGTCGCGAAGTCCCGCGGGGGGGGGGGTCGGGTCACTTCGGAACGCTAAAATCAGAAGGATTTCCGCAAAAATGAACGGCCGCCGTGCATCAAGACTGAAAAAGTCATCAAGGGGAGAGGGCCATGGCGGCAGAAGACGGAAACTCCGGCCGTCATGGGTTTGAGGGATAGGTGGTGGGTTCAAGGCCTTCAAGCCTCGGCGTCGGACTCGCAAAGTCCGCGCGGAAGTTTCCGAGAGGGTGAAGCGGCGGGAGGACTCGTCGGCATCCGAATTCGAAATTGCGCGGGCAGCACCCCTGCATCACGGGAGAGCTCAAGGAAACGTGTCGCTCCCTTGTAACCCAGGACCAATCGTCGCCAAGAACACGAGTCCCCCTGGCGACACCAGCGACAATCAAACTGCGGTCGCCACGTGGCGTGAGCGGCCGACCAAGGCAACACCGTCAAACCCGTGTAAGGCAATATTAAAGTCAATCAAAGCGATCAATTAAGACAAACCCGTCTCCCCTGATATTGAACGCCCGGGGCGGGTCTCGCCAACAGACTTGCTCCGTTCGACTCAAAGCGCGCCGTACATCCGCATCACAGTAGACGCCCTCGTCATCTGCGATGGGAAAGGCTGGTAGCGAGATGGGACGATCGGAGGTAGGCGATGAACACGGGCCATACCCCACGCTCCCGGTCCTCCGTACCAACACCGTCTCCATACAACACTCGTTGTAATCCTTCTCTCTCAAGGTTAGTGCGCCGGGAGAAGATGAGGAAATCTAAGTTCTCTTCCCCGTCGCGGGGGCGTCGACCGCGCGCGCGGACGCAGGCGGTTGACGTCACCG